AAATGTAATGAAATAGCATTGTTTGGTAGGTGGTATCATACTTGCTACAGATACCATGCCAGAAAAATTTCTCTGTTATAAAAATATCTCCTAGTTGCTGTATACAAACCAACACCATTTAGTTTGCCCAAAATACCTACATGGTATTTTGTAGTCTATTCATCAATTAATATTTCAAAGTGCCCTTTTTATTAGTTATCTCTCCCATCTCCAAAATTGGTCAGAAGTATCACTGCAGTGTCATAGATGGGAAACTAAATATGAAAGATAAATGACCTGGGCAAGGTCTCGGAATGAATTCATAGCGGAGCTGGTATTAGAACCTGTAGCTTATGATAGGAATTTAGAAATAAACTTCTTTTTCTTTCTTTCCTCCTTCCCCTTCCCCTACCCACCTTCCTTCCTTCCTTCCCTCCTTCCTCGCCCTTCCCTCCCTCCTTCCTCCCTTCCCTCCTTCCCTCCCTCCCTCCTTCCTTCCTTCCCTCCTTCCTCCCTTCTTTCCTTCCTTCCCTCCCTTCCTTCCTCATTCCTCCTTTCTTTCCTTTCTTCCTTCCTTCCCTTCCTCCTTCCCTCCTTCTTTCCTTCCTTCAGTAATTTCCTGGGATTTATATCATCCCATCCTACTGGTGATTGAACCTAGAAGTCCTCTACCATTGAGCCACAACCAAGCTCATTTTATTTTGAGACTGGGTCTTGCCAAGTTTGATGAGGCTGGCCTCAAATTTGTGATCCTCCTGCCTCAGCCTCCTGAGTTGCTGGAATTGTCACCACATATGCCACCACATCCAGGCAAAAATGTAGAAATTTCTGCATTTCTTTGACAAGATCTTTAATGCAAACTGTTCAAGATGTAAACAATTTTAAAAGCAAATCTATGTTGAGAGAGATGATAGGAATGGAAAAGAGGGAAAAATACTATTCACTTATGTAAAATTTTCCTCAACTCTAGGTTTGCTTTTTGTTTGGTGACCCATTCCCATTTACAGCTTCCATGTGGTAATTGAAGAAAGATGGTAAAGGGCCTTTTCCCCTCATTTCCATTTATGGAAGGTCAAGAATCTAATGACTGAAATAGATAGAAATTTAGTGTATAAAGAACTGTTCAGAGTACTCTGTTTTCCCATCTCAACCTCACTTTCTCCTCCTTTTCAAAAATCAGTTTTATTATAAGCACAATGCACTTAGTCTTTGTAACCATTGTCATGGAGTCCCCCTTGAGCAACTAAACAAAGTAGGCAAATTCTGCCACCATTGTTGACCAAGGAAGCATGGGGAAAAGGAGGTTATCAGAAATGCTTACCACTAAAGCCACTCAGATTAGAAGCCATCAAATTGAGAAGGTTCGAAAATATTGTTTTAGTGTCAGAGAGGGATGATAATACCTGAAGATAACTTTATCATTCACAAAGGAACCAGCCCTATTTCCATGATTCCACATGAGTCTTCTCATCCTCAAGTCATTCCAGAAACTTCCTGATTCCTTTAAGTGAAATAAATTTCCTTTCATGCAAAAGGTTGGAAGTAAGAAAATAACTTCCACATCATTTTTTTTTAAAGACAGAGAGAAGAGAGAAGAGACAGAGAGAGAGATAATTTTTTAATATTTATTTTTCAGTTTTCATTGGACACAACATCTTTATTTTATTTTATGTGGTGCTGAGGATCAAACCCAGCGCCCCGCGAAAGCCAGGCAAGCGCGTTACCGCTTGAGCCACATTCCCAGCCCCTCCACATCATTTTTTAATGGTTTTCTGTTTGTTTCATACATATTAGTGTGAGTTCTCAGGAACAGATCTCATTTTCCTTTGTAGAATATCAAGCTCACCCAAACTCAAAAGATTACAGCTGGGGTTAGGGATTTAGCTTAGTGGCAGAGTTCTTGCCTAGCATGCATAAAGTGCTGGGTTCCGTCCTGGGTCTTGAAAAAAATAAATGTAAGTCTTGTGTTCAAGTGATGAGCTTTTGTTGAAAACCAATTATAACAAAATAAATTGTAGAAATATGAATGTAGCCCAAATATGCTCTTTTCTGTCATGTACTCTAAAAGAGAAAATGAAATCTGCTACTTGACAAAGAACCATGGACAGACCTGTCTGTATGAAACAAATGAAAAAACTTAGAAATTGGGACATGAAAGTTACCTAATTCTAACTTATTTCACAAAGGAAATTTCCTTTTTCCATCATCTAACATAAATACTTTGGTAAGTTTAGTCACCAGCCAGTCCTTGGCTCCTATTAACCAGGTGATTTGAAAAATAATCAGTATCTGTGAAACACCTTCACAGGATGTGAAAATGATAAGCACTTTTGGCAGACTTTGTCTCTTAGTTTTTGTTTGGTGACTCAGGAGTGTAGGGAGGAAAATCCAAAGAAATATATTCTTTCCCCTGAGAATTCCAATCAAGGATGATGCTTCATGGTGGGTTTCAATGAAAAGCTTACAGAGGTTTATGAAAACAAACAGAAGAGCGCAATTTTTAAAAAATGATCAAAGTGAAGTTTTTCTGCTTGCTATAGATTTTTAACATCCCCTAAAGGCCCATGTATAAAAAGGTCATTCCCCAGCCTGTGGCACTACTGAAAGATGGTAGAAGGTAGGGCCTACTTTAAGAAGCTTATTCCATTGGAGATTGTGCTCTTGAAGGGGATATTGGGAAGCCGATCTCTTCCTCTCTCTTTGCCTCCTGGACACCATAAGGTGAGCAGCCTTGTTCTATCCCATGCTCCCACCATGAAGTACTCTGCTGCTACTGACCAAAAGAGGTCAAGTAATAATGGACTGAAACCTCTGAAGGTGCAAGCCAAAATAAACCTTTCTTCCTTAAAGTTGATTTTCCCAGATAAAATTTTGTCACAGTGATGAACAGCGAACATACTGCTAGAACCAGGATAGGAAGTAACATCTTCTCCTAAGCCTTCCCTTGTTCTGTCTGGCACCTCCAGCCCTGTTACCACACCCCCCACTCATCCCAACGTTGGCAGATACTTAATGTGTATTTCATTCATGTGGTCTACATCTAATTCTTTGTGGACAAGTGTCATTCTCCTCAGTCATGCAGCAGCATACTGAGTAATCCCTAGAAATTAATAAGGATGGTCTTCCTCATCTGTACCAGACCTCCTGTTCACTAGGTAAGTAGGGGTTTAAATATGTACCATTTAGGCATCACTTACCAATTTTTTTAGGGCTGCTAAGTACTGTCCAGGCCCTATTCTTGCCCTTTTGATAGCCTACCTATGAACCTTCCCCCACTGAGAAGGGGATCTGAGGAGACTCATTGAAACTCAACCCAGCAGAGAGCTCATCAAAGAGCTGCAGCCTTCCCTACCACAGGGCCATCTGCTTTCCAGTCACAGGCCAGTCCTTTGCCTTTCTTTTCCCTAGTGACCTCATTAGAACCTTCTTGTGAGAGGTCAGCTGTGATGCAGGACCTTATGGATGGCCATTAAAATAATTCCTGAGGCTCCCTCACATATTAATAGTTCCTTACACTGAGAGACTAAATTCTAAAGGACTTATGGAATTCAAGAGAGACAATGCTCTCAAGGGCTTGAGCTAGAAGCAAAAGGATGGGGAAGGGGTGGGGGGTTGTCTCTGCAGGTGTCAGGGTGCTAGGAAGTTTGGTCTCTTTCTTGTCTTGCATTCCTATATTCCTACTAACATGGGTTGGGTGCCTATCTATGTCAGGTGCAGTTTTAGGCAGAGGCTCCTCCCACCTGGAGCAGTCTAGGGCTCACTTACATTATAGGCCTTAGATGGAAAGTAAGAGCACCCAACCCTCTGCTTTTGATAATACATTTGCACGTGTATGTGTGTGTTATACCCAGGATGAGGGCTTAAAATGAGAAGCAGCAGTGACCCGGACAGCTAGGTGGGCTAAATCCACAAAGCCATATTCCAGAGCTGTTCTGCGATAAGTGATCCGGATAGCTCAGGCTACTGATGCCCTCTTATTGATATTTCTGAGATGGCTCCATGTCTCCCTCCCAGCCTGGGAGGTGGAAACACATAGTGGGACAGATATGGCTCCTCAGCAGCTTCCTGACCACAAAGATAGATGATCTTGGTCCCTCGAGAATCCTGGTAGACCCAGAAGACAGTCACAGAAGCCACCCCTGAGGATGCTACTCTGAAGGTCAGCCCGCCTGAGAGGGGGAGGGTCTTGCAGATTCTGGCGCCTTCCAGCACTGGTGCCTACTCCTGGTCACGGCTCTGAGCTAGTGCCCCGGACGTCATGTGTAGGGAAGAAGGGACCTAGGCACCTGTAAGGTTTCCTAAGACAGTGGTGTGGAGGGCAAGAGTGAGGAGGGGGGCCTGTACTGAACTTTTCGTGAGGTTTCTGGAGCCCGTGTTTTGTTTCGGTGATGATAATCTTTAGATCAAGATCAGGACGTTTTCCAGGGAGTCCGGGGCTCTCAGTCTCTGGCCCAGTCTTCCACTGGTGGCTGGGTCCTGGGCCTCACCTTCTTTGGGTCCTCTGCTTCCTCCGACGGCGGGGGCTCCTTTGGAGCAGCCACGTTCCGCGCCTCTGGCAGGTTCCAGATACAAGCGTAGTCAACCGGGTCTCTGCCTGCGCTGCGGTTGGGCTTCTAGCCCCACAGTACGCCCACACGTGATGGCTCTGGGGCCTCCCGACCTCTCTCGGCTAGGGGGCTTCAGGGGCCGCCGCCTCCCTCCTGAAGCGTCCAGGTCCCACTGCAGCAAGCCATGCAGAACCCGCCAGCAGCCACCACACTTTGCAGCAGCCAACTTCGCCGCCGCCAGAGAATACCCCGAGCCAGTCCTTGGCCGCACGCGATTGGATAGTGTCTGCGGGGCGGGAACCGGTGCTAAGCACAGCCCGCGGTCGTCGAAGGTGCTGGCGCCACCACGATTGGCTGTCGGCTCCATCAGTCACGGGTTGATTGACGCCCCGCCCCTCGAGGCCGGCCCGGGTCTGGCTCCGCCCCCCTCGCCGTCCGGTCCCGCCTCCCTCCGGAGCTTGATCTGCTCAGCCCGGCGTTCCGCCTCATTCGCTGATCAGGTCCGCGAATTGTCAGCGCGCTCCGGAGACTGCTGAGCCGGGGCGGCCGCCTGGCTTGCGGTGCTCCCTTCGAGGTGCGGGTCAGATTCAGTGTGTCCTGGCCCGCCGGGGCTTGGGAAACAACCGGTTCGGGGCAACTTGGAACTGAGAACCTGCAGAAGGGGCGTCGGTCTGTGATCGGGACTCGGCAAGGAGGGTGAGTGGCCGCGCGCAGGGCGAGCGGCTCCTCTCAGCGCCGTTCCGCGGCCGGCGAACCGAGAGACCGGACGCTTCCTGGCGTTAGTCTGTCGGTCAGTCAGAGCGTGGCCGCTGTGGGAGGTCAGATGGGCGAAATTTACTCAGTGCCAATATGCCCACTCCCGAACTTGTTTTCAAAGCATCCCAACTCGGCCCCGAACGCGATTCGGTGTACGCACCAACTTGGCGTAATTGCCATTATTAGGTCCGGACGCGTCCCCTGTCCCTCTGCGGTGGCGACATCGCGCAGGGGGTCGGCTACCGTGCCCTCCGGTGTGCGGACAGCAGTTCCTAGATGACGTGCGGACGGGTGCCTCAAACATTAACCGGCGTCCCAGCCGGTGCGGTGCGGTAACCCGGAGTCGGCATCTGAACCCGTGGGCTGAGCGAGCGTTCGTGTTCTGGGTGGGTCTTCAGCCGCCAGAAATTGGCCAGCCGGGTGGGCACCACAGCGGGGGCTTCAGTGCTTTGCAGATGGAAAGGAATTGACAGCGCTGCTGGACGTTAAACTTTGTAAAGTAATTACTTCCTATCAGCAGTTGAATCCGCTCCCCTCTTGAGGGGCTCCAACCTCCGAGACATCTACCCTCAAGATGTGTCTGAGGGACTTAATTAGGAGCGGGGTGGGGGTGGGGGAGCTGCTGTGTCTAACACTGCCTCAGCCCGGGAGAGACCAAGGCAAGACTGCGAAAGGGACCGCCAGCTGGTCCGGTGGCGTTTGTTTGAGCACCTGTGTGTTTAAGGGATGAAGTTGTGGCAAGAACTGACAACAGAGGAGTCAAGGTTAAACCTGACACTTTTTGACTCGGTCTGGATTAGATTTCCTTTTTGTCTTTTAATGCAGCTTGTTTATCTGAGGGCAATTACATACATGAAGTTTATGTTATGTGTTTACTAAATAGTATCCAGTACAATATTTTCTTCTCATTCTCATTTGAAATGAATGAGAGCTTATTGAAAGAGACTTGGGTCCAGAATTTGGGAATAGATCTTTGAAAAATACATAAAATGTTGACATACATAGTTATATGTGTGTATGTATGTATGCATATGTGGATGTACATATATATGTATTCACACACATATATATACATACATATACACATACTCGTATGTATATGTATGTGTGAAATTGATAGGTAGATGAGGTAAAAATATATGAAGGGGAAACAGCCTTGAACTTTCCCTGGGTCACAGAGATGAGCCCTTTGAGCTGTGGAGTGTATGGTGAGTGTATATGTGTAAGCATGTCTGCATCTGCCTAGTCTGGGTCAGTGTTATGTCCATGAACTTTACGAGCATTCAGTTAAATACCACTAGGTGCAGATTCCGCCTTCCTGCTTTATAGCCCAGCAGCCGCCAGCCTTCCCATCTGTTAAAACATAATGTGTATACTTGAGTCAGAGAACTGGAGTGGAGGGTGAATAGGGGGCAACCCTTTAGCAGAACTAACGTGCTACAAACAAAGCCTGCCTCTCAAGTTCTATTTTCATTCATTGTTTGTCCTGAACTTGCAGTTTTAGTGAGGGAGAAAGGAAAAAAGGGAATATTGTCTCTAGAAGTCACAAATTGTATTTTGTGAAATAATTGTAGCCATGATTTCAGGGAGGGAGAGCTTAATGGAGAAAAAATAATCCCTCTAGAAAAAGGAATGTGGTGCTTGTCACATCACCATGCAACACTGGTTTACTGCTTTGCAGTAGTGTGTATATCAGAAACTGTTTTCTTTTTCTTAAGAGAATGCATTGAAACTGAATTATTTGTACCCCACAAAAAGACACTTTAATATAAATAAATAGAGCTTTATTGCACAGACTGGAGTTAAGACTGTCTTAGTAATTTTAATGAAACATGCTTTTAAGGAATTTATAACTTGGACATAAATTCATATTCAGCCTAAACACTAGTAGCAATGTTTCACAATTTATAGTTTAAAAATAATAAAAAGGCTTTATCACAAAAATTCTGATGACTAAAAGGGTATGGGAGGAGTACAGCAGCTTAATAAGTTCCTGAAGCCAAATGACTGATATTTTTTAAAACTATAAATTCCTTTAATAGCATTTGGGTGACAATAAAGGCAGTATTTTTTAAAAGCATAGTTGATATTTTCACAATAATTTTATGCTCATATTTACATTTTAATAATGGTTTTCATTATATGTGGGCAGAATAAACTAGAATGGTTTTGGGAACTCACCACAAGAAGTATTGTCTTCACTTCTATGGTATATATAAACATTTTGGGGCAAATATACAAATCCCTAATATTTGCATGTCTAAATTTCTAAGAGCTATATAGATACAGTAATTCTCCTGCCTTAATACGAACCGTCCAAATCAACTGGGTTGCTCCTTAGAAATTTAGTTTTTAGGATGGACTCTAGTCCTAGGGATTCAATTCTGGGGTCTAGGGTGGTGCTTAGGAATCTGAATTTTCAACAATTACACCTAAATGATTCTAATACCAGGGATTCCCTCAGGGAAATCAAGAAACACTGGAATGGTGTTTTGCGATATAAAAGGACATAGGCTGTGAACTGATTTAACAAATAATTGTTCAGAAATTTCCAGGTGGCATTTACTGGCCTTGTGAAATTTATAGGTAATGCATTAACACTCTTTCCTCAACAATGGGTCCCTTTTGTCCAGTGTTTAGAGTTGTTTTGGAATCTTCAGCTATTCCTATTGCAGGTTGGGCCCAATTCTAAGGAAGTTTGTCTTAGGAAGCAAGGTAGTTTAAGACCCCTGCCTAATCTTATTCCTTCTACCACCCACTCCCACTCCTGGTTCCTGGGAAGCTGTGAGTTGATTTGGCCAGCCCTAGTACACATTGTTGGGCATTTCTCCCTGGAGGTTAGGAGAGGAGACACCTTTCTTCTTTCTAAAAGACATTTCAGGATGGAAGCTAGAACCAAAGTGCACACTTCAGCTGAGCTAATACAGACTTATATATCAGGGGTCTCCTTGGGAAGTTTCACTGCTCTGTTGTTAGCCAGCAGACTGTCCTAGGCCACCCACTCATGAGCCCATGTTTTTGTTGTTGTTGTTGTTGTTGTTGTTGTTGTTGTTTTTGGCACCAGGGATTGAACTCAGGACCACTTAACCACTAAACCATATCCCCAGCCCTTTTTGGTCTCACTGAGTTGATTAGGGCTTAGGGCCTTGCTAAGTTGCTGAGGCTAGCTTTGAACTCATGATCCTCCTCCTACTTCAGCCTCCCAAGCTGCTGGGATTACAGGTGTGCATCACTGCATCCTGACAGGGATACTCAGCTTCTGAAAGTCACCTTAGAAGAATCTTAAAGTATTTGTCTAATTAATTAGGTGAATTTTCATTTTATCAGAGAGAGATGCATTGAGAATTGGTTGTTACTTCTCTTTTCACTAAAATTATTGTGGATTTTGATTTATTAATTATTGTCAATTAGTTTTTTATTTATCATTTGATACTGACATCTGGATTCTGTTTTACCATTTCAGAATATATATATATATATATAATTTTCCATAAAAGACTCCTAAATAAGATATGAAAGAGAATGAATCTATTAAAGCTGCCCTTCCCTTTTTCTACCATTCTAGTACTTAAAATACTAAATGACTTCTCAGAGGTCAAAAGTGCTCAGAATATTTACTTCCCTGATGACAAAAGGACGTGGGCCAGAGCATTGAACTTGGATTGTTCCAGACCATTGGATCATCACTGGGATTTTATGGAGCAATTTCTGTTTAAAGAAGCACTTGGCAAGCATGTTGATAGGTCACTTATCTTAACAATCCTTTGAGGACACTGATTTTTTCCCACTTTGTTCCAGATGAGCAAACAGCAGCCACAAAAGGATAATATTTAGATCCTGTCTTTCATAGTCAAATATGACACCAATAGCTGAGAAGCTGGCCTTATGTTTTGAACTGTTTTTATTTAGCATTGTGGTGATAAGATAGGGTTATGCTTAGTCATTTATACCATATATCTATTTTTTTATTCTTTTCTTTTAATCTTTTCATACTTAATGTGACATTATAACAGTTTTCTTTATAAAGTTAACATCATATATGATAATTGGTTCAATAATCCTGACCTTAATCAGCCAACCTTGACCTAGAGAGGCAAATAATTTGCTAAAGTTCCCAGAGCCCAACGGAGCAAAGCCTATGTGAATTCTTTGGGCCTGTATTTTAACCTTGTGCTGGTTTGTCTATTGTCATGTCATGCTACCCAGAATGTTTTTAAACTTGCAAAATAGAATTACTTATATTTTATTTGCCCAGCTTCTGCATGATTTGATGGACTAACAAAAGTTGAAAAGCCTGAGGTATACCACAGTCCCTGACCATACAATGGCCCTGGTTTGAGCCTAATTTAAAAACAAAAACAAAACTTCAGTGAATTGCTGTTTTTCTTAAAACTAGGCCATAGGTCATTGTTTCTATGTAACAATTTTAACTTTTTTTTTTTTTTGGCCATGGCATACTTCTGGCATCTAACTTTGACAAACTCTTTTCAAGTTTTTGACCCTTCTTTCCTTATCCTTATTCCCATGGTGAAGTCAACTTGTAAAAAATCCACTTTTCAAGTTAATCTGTTCTTTTAACTTCTACTAATACTTAAATGTTAGATATTTTAACTAACATGTCTCCAAAACATTCCTTCAAGCTCCTACCTTTGCTGTGAATTTTTGGGTCTACTAATATCTCCTAACAGTGCATATATTTGAGCTAGAGAAGTTTTACTTTAGCTTTAGCTTTGTGGATTTAATGAAACAGCGGTTTAAAAAACAAAAAAAGAAAAAGAAAAAGAAAAAAGTCAAGGATGATATTGAAGTCATGTTGATATGTGTGTCATATTAGATATCCCAGCTTATAGTGTCAGTGGGAAATTTAAGATCCAGAAGAATGAAGTGACAGATGCTCTCATCTGTGGCCTTACAGACACTCCTAACACAAGCTGAAAAAA